TTGCATTTTTTCCATCTGTTTTCTGAAAATATAGGTACAGCTTTGATTCTGTTGGGAAGTATATAATTGTAAGAAAATGATCATTTTAGATCAGAAGTTTAAAATGATCTAAAAATAACACATAAATACCAGATCTACGATCCTAGATGGAGATATTAAAATGCATAGGATATAGCGGTGTCTCGGACGGCAAGTTAGATACGTTCGAAAAATTATTTTTTGCACATCGTAGCATAGATTATTTTTTGGGAATGAAATATGCAGGTATCGGTATTCTAGATAAAATGTCGCCATCATTTTCTGGATCAGCATTTGCAGTTTTTACGTCTGTTGCTCAAAATATAGGGACAGCTTTGATTCTGTTGGGAAGTATAGTTTATATTATAACCATATGCTCAAATCGAAAATTTTATACAAATTTAAATGCAGTTACTGTTAATGTTTCTATTGCATCTATTATTTATGGAGTCTATTGGACAAGTTATTTTATTTTAACATTTGTTTGGTCAGATTATTCACAAATATGCGTACTGACAAATTATTTTGAAGTTGTTGTCCATACTCAAGTGTTATATGCTTACGTTATGGTATCATTCAATCGCGTGTTTTTCATTGTCTATTATCGACAACAGTTTTTCAAATCGTTAAGATGGATACTATTATGTATTGGTTTACAATGGATTGGAGGATTTTTAATACCATTACCAAATATATTCATTAGTTGGATGGTAAGTTAGTCACACACAAATTTATATTTGCCTAAACAGGATATCTTTCTTCTCTTTGAATATGCACCACTTTTGACACATAGCACATTTTTTATTAAATACGGTGAGACAGTAATTAATAGATTGTCATAGTTCCTCAAAAATAGGTCTCTCTCCTTTTTCTGAAAGAAATTTGTAATGCTTACATGTAATCGCTGTTTTATATTTATTTCGTTCGGCAAACAACGATTTTATTATTGAACTTTACAATACCATAAAACAACAGTATTTCTTCGAATTAAAACAGCAATAGAATGTCACACCATCGTACTGGTTTTATCTCCATTTTATCGATATTTCTTTTAAAACAAAATGTCACGTTTATGATTGTGAGAAAGAAAGACTTGCACATTATGTTTGACAAAAGAGTCGCAAAACAAAAGTTAAAACTATCTAAAATCAGTTTGACTGCACAGTCAGATTACGATGCCAAAAGTTTTCTTTTTTTTAATCAAAATTTTAAGATCCTGAATGTCAAGTTTGAGAACACAATCACCAGCAGAGATGTCTAAAAGCTAACGAATAGTGTTTTGTGCGAAAGGCTAATGGGAAGCTTTTTGTTATTCTGAGATACTGTGGTCAGAGAAATTTATATCTTCAAGAGTATAGTAGTTTTTATGAATATACAAGAGAACAGAATTGTACTTACAAAAAAAGGTTTCGTGTGTGTGCGGATTTGAACCGCAGAACTTATCCACAGGTATCGTGGAGATAACGAATAAGGCCACGCAATCGTTTGTTAACACAGAGGTGTGGGTGGGGTAAGAATGAGGGTGAAAGGATGAATACTTGAAACGACGAAAAGTTGAAAAGATAAAAAGCTGAAGAGATGGAAAGCTGAAAATAAAAAGCTGACAGGATGAAAAGTTCCAGAAACGCAAATAAGGTGGTGGATAGTTTTTATTATTTTCGAAAAGCATAGAAGCTAAAAGATAGTCTAGAAATAGGTCTAAAAAAATAGGTCTAGAGAAATTTTGACAGTATTCCAAACAGGTTATTCTCTCACCCCTCATCACCAGTGGCAGTCTCAGCCTTTATTATTTACTAACTTGGCGCTCTAAAAACGAAGAGAATCCACACATTTTCCTGTGAAAACGTGTACTCCATCCTTTACGGATCGTTAAGAGCTTATATTGTACTGCTACGTTTTCTCTGCCTCTTAGGAATGCCTTGGTATTGTGGACAATGGGTTTATTCGTCTTTATACACTTGTAACAATATTGATTATTCCAATGATAATATTATGTTTTGCAAATGGTGTCATATTTTGGTTTGCAAAACATTCTCATCAACGTGTATTACCATCTAAAGCAACTCAAATCCAAACGACGAATACTGCCAGCACTGTTGTGGAAAATGAAAATGTTGGCTCAACAAATGGAGCAATATCTAGACGAGATATTCGATTATTAAAAAATATTTTATTGATGCTTATCGTATTTATTGTTGGATGGGCACCTGTTTATTTTACTTTAACATTTGGAAATGTTCAACAATTAGGAAGTGAAGTTGTACCCATATTAGCTTTATTACCAACATTCAGTCTTGCTTGTAATACCTTTCTGTTATTTCGGTGTAACAATCCACTTAAGATACATTTAAGACAAATAATTAAAAAAACATTTACAAGAGTGAGACCAAATTAAATTTATTAAATACTCGACTAATTATAATTCTTTAACGTGCTCATGAATCACGTTACATTAACTGTTGTATTGCCTACATCTGTATCATTTTAGTTTCAAAATAGTTTATGCTGCAGGTGATATCGTAATCTTTTTAGCCACTTTATGAATTTGGCAAAACTTTCTATATACACAAAATTTCTTGAGGACATTAGTCTTTATTCAAAAGACATCAGCAGTCAAATGGCTACAAAAGTTATTCCAGGATATAGTAGAAAAGAAATTACTTACATGTGTAGACAACGTAACAAAAATCAGAATTCTTTCTTTCTACTAGTGAGCATGTTATGTATAATGGCTAATCAAAAAATATTCAAAACAAACTTTTTTTAATCATAGATGACCCTTGACCCCTCTTCTTTTTACTTTTTGTGAATATCCATGAGCAAGCTCTCTTTAATCACTCTTTTTACTGTATAACATTCATGACCAAGAATTTCGGGGTAGCAAACAGGTCGATGTTCATTCTCAAGACAACGTTTTGCTATCCTTGAGAAACCTTTTTCCGTAGAAACATTTTTATGTTCTTCTTTATATTTATCAGCTCCTCTCGCTGTCTGTCCAATGTAACTATTATCGAAATTTTAAAAGAAGGCTATCCGGCAGAATGCGCATAACCTTTAAACGAAAATAGCTAGCGATCTGCCGTTTTCACCATTTGGTCGATTGCGGGACCAACCAAATTTTCCACACATTTGCATCCCCCGGTCTTCTCTTTCAAATGGTGAAAATCGCAGGTCGCTAGCTATCTTCGTTAATAAGTTACAAGCATTCTGCCAGATAGCCTTCTTTTAAAATTTCGATAATAGTAGTGCATCAACAGCAGTCGTACTTCTAAATAACTCTTTTCACATCGTTCATTTGCCGAAAAGTATGGCCAGACAGTGATGATATAACTTTAAATCCAAAAGCCGCAGCCGTTAATGGATGATGAAGAGGCGTTTTTAGCTGATTAACTAAACTAATGAGTGTGATCCACAATACGGTAATGAGATGTAGTAACGTTTAACATTAGGCGCTAAGTAAGGTTTCTGCACGGATTTATTAAGAAGAATTCGACGAATCGCCTTCTTAACCACGTTCGACCGATTAGCCGTGAGAATTCGTATGTAATAATCAAGTTCTTTTATGAATAAATCATCTGACGAACAAGATATTTTAGCACTCGTATATAGACATTTTATGAGGTTTATCTTGTAATTTGTCGATGGATTACTCATCCACTGCAGATGTAACCCGGTATCAGTAGGCTTCCTATATACACGTGTCGTCAGCTCATTACCTTTTCTTTCTACCATTACATCAGGAAATGGCAGCTTATTAAAGTGTTCTTCCTCAATTGTAAATTGAATTGATGTATTTAATTTTTCATGAATTTCTAAGTTCTTTTGTGTTCCATGGATGACAGCGAAAATATCATCAACATATCTTAGACAGATCGCGTTCGCCTTCTAATGCAACATTCGTAAATAATGACGTAGCATCTAGCGAAACATAATACTGAACATCTCTTTGTCAGCATGAAATTTATCCACGAAATCGAACGAGTCTTTAATGTACGACCGACCATCTCTCATTACTGGTGACAGCAAATCTGCAAGGTATTTCTCCGCTGCATAATTATATGCATCGTAACTTGAGATTATAGGTCGAACAAGCTGATTTTGCTTAAGAACTTTAACGAGGAAGTATGATGCAGGTTTTCGAGATTTCGTATTTGGCCTCATTTTGTTTGTAATCATCATCAGTGATCAGCTTTTGGCTTGCTAACTGATGATGCACTATCAGTTACATTGGACAGACAGCGAGAGGAGCTGATAAATATAAAGAAGAACATAAGAATTAGGTATGCACCGAGCTTCGAGTTATCCGAAAACTCGAACCGAGCTACTAGAAATTCCAGCTATCCGAAAACTAAAGTCTGTTTTCTTTCTGATGGGTGTTATTCTCAGCCCTCCACATTAAAGAGGATTCCACACTTTTATACTATTTTGCATTAACTTCATTTTACACTTTATAAAGTGTAATTGCATATATGCAAGTAATCTGAACTCTTACGCCGCTTAATATCATGTTGAAAGAAAAATTTCGTTTCGCACTTAGAGTAAGACATTTTCGATTATTTACGATTTCGGATAATCGATGTTCGAATAATTTTTGATTAGTCATTGCGCAAAGCATACTCATGACGAGTTCATATATAATGTCAGCGTTTTCCATTTTCTCTTGGCACTACTCAGTTTTTACTCCTCATTTCTTATGTTAAGTAGAAACTAGCGTTACTTGTCCTCATCGTCAATAAACGAACGTTTTGAGCAAAAGGTGATGAGTTGACTACACGCGTATATCGGAGGCCTACTAATATGCCAAAATGTCCTCTTCAAAAGGTTCTATGAGTGACTGTAGGCTTCTCCCAGATAATTACTTCCCACATTCTCTGTTGATATCAAAGAAGTTCCAGCTGACATAATAAGAAACCCTTCTTCGTTCCTATTTATATTATATTATGTTTTATTTCTTTTCTTTTCTTTTCTCCTTCTCGTTTAATAATGGAGCGTATGAATCAAAACCCACTGGCATCCAGCCCAGTCATTTTGAACGGTTAAGTCACTTTTTATACTAATGTTAGCGCAATTTTGATGCTTTCACCTTAAAGAGATTTTCAGAAAGGAATGCTGCTGCGAAGAAAACAAACTTTCCGTACATGTTTGGTTAGTGAAGAAACGTCTTTATGTGTGAAAAGAATAAATCAGTATTACTGCATTGGGACTCTCTAATAAAATCACCGATAGCCTTATGAATACTATTTATATTCTGAAATTCAACAGCTGAGCTCTGAAACCAAATAACAACTATTAGCTGTTCATAATATGTTTCAAGGAATCGCTTCAATTTACGTCTTTTGTATGCTTACTTAACTTATGAATTCACGCACGTACGATCGACAGGTAGCGACGTCTATGGTGGACAAGCTTTTATTTTCGGAACTGATCAAATATCAATTTGTTATTCGGCTTTCGATGCTGAATAAGAAAAAACTAGTTTCGAAAGAATAAAAAGGAAAATAAGACAAACATTCGAACGTTTTCTAAAGATGTTTAAGTCTCTTCGAGTATTTCCAATATTGAAAAAGAGATCCGGTCTTCGTCTTCATAAATAGCGACGTCTATAGTAGATAAGTATCGACTTTTAAGTTCCTTCGAGTATTTTCAAATTTTCGACATGTAGAATGGGTTGTGAAAAGTTCAAAAACAGATTTTTGTGAGCACCTTGATGCGGGCGATCGAATCGTTTATAATAAGTTGCAAAAAAGCTTTACGTTTTTCGAAATTTTTATTGATTTTCAGTTTTAGGTGAAAATCTCGATAATTTTTTAACATGAACATTCGACAAAAACTAAAGTAGTCGGATAGGACAGAAATACACATTAGTCGACTCAGGTTTTGTTCCTTATCTCAAATATGATATTTTTATTGCTCAAAACTTCAGTTCTGTTGGAGAAAATTAAGTACTTCGAGCAGAATTCTAACTTTTTCGCCTGTGATCAAAGAGATGCACGATGATGTTAGGCGGTTTAAATCGTACATTTAAATCCGTACCTTCATTCATCCGGCTTCATATTTATCAAACGTGCATTCTTCCGATTATATACTACTGCTCGACCGTGTAAATAATGATTTTGTAACTCATCTTGCATTACTAACATCGGTGAACAAACTTGCCGCACGCATTATACTAAACGACTATTCTTCATGTAGTTCAGCTCTCATTAAACAACTAAAATTACTGGACTTGACTTGACACTAAGAAGGAAATTTTTTAGACTAACTTATTTTCATAAAATTATTACAGGTTGAAGTGCCTTTTCACGATTTTCTTTAATCAAACCACTAACTAGTAGAACTTCTCAGCGTACTTCAAATCGATGTCATTGGCAAGTTCCTGTTTATAACATAACACTACCACCTCTTCTTTTCTTCCCAGAACTATCACAGAATGGAATCGGTTACTTAGAAGGGTTTTGGCTGGTTTCAAATTTCAGTCTTTTAAACGTGCATTGAGTGAACATCTTTTAATATAAAACAGTCTGTATTTAAGCTATATTTTCTATATTTTTTTTTCTTCTACTGTTTTCTGAGGAAGGTTTTTGACAACGTGGCTATATTATTACTTTTTTTACCAACCCTGTCATTTTTTTTTCGATCACTGACCAAATAAATAAATAAGATTTTAAGATTTTAAGAAATTATTCAAAACCTCTTGACTGCGTGCTTGTTTGCTTGGTCAATTAATTTTGATATGCTTAAACTCTGAAATATCTAAAAAACAGCTTTCAGAGAAGTTATTCTGAGAAAGATGAAGTGAGAGCGTTAGTAAAAGAGCTTAATAATTAAAAAAGTTTCAATAACGCATGTCCAATTAGTCAATGCGGCACTTCCTTTAGCAACAAAGAAAAATTCCGTGCGGCACTCACTTTTACCGGTGAGCCGCTTTTGCACATTAACAAATCGGCACTGTGTGGCACGGGTGCCAATCGGCATTAGTTCGGTACTTGTTGGGCGCGAATGCACACTGGCAGTGCTGCAGTGATTTCTACGATTGATTATATTTTAATTTTTATGATTACAATATTTTCATTCAGTGACTGGAACACCTTTACTTTTAAATCAACTTCTCCTTTTTCGTATCCGCTGCAGATATTTGTAATAATAACTATTGTGAATCATCTTTCTGGTGAACAGCTCCGTAATAGTATATCTTTTGATAAATTAAAAATGTTTTCTTCAGTCTATTTTGTTAACAATAAGGTTAAAGCATGATTGTCTGTTTCTAAATCAGTACTTTGCTATATGAGCATCGATACTGTTTGTTGTCGTTTCTATCTCAGTTATTTCATTTATGACAGAATATACGAGTGTTCTGGAAACAAGCGTTTGGCGGATTGTTTGTGGAGCAAATCG